GGAATATAGAGGTGCATAAGGGCCCGCTTAAGCAGCGGCCTATGCACTGGCTGCTTATGGTGGCCGTAATGCCTCTAATTCACCATTAGTTCATTCTCACGTGAAGAACCTATTTCTACGAATGAGCTGATGAACGCTATACCAAGTGCAGTTGTCTCTGAGACAAAATAATAATAAATCATAGAAACCCAAGCGTGCATCCATATTTAATAGAAGGCTCTTCGTTCAAGATTGTGGCTGTTTCTCACACGTCGGGCAGGAAAGGCCGACATGCAACACTGTCGATATATAAAAGCTTTCTGCTATCAAAAAAAGTCAGTGGAAGTTAGTATTACCGAAAGCATGATTTACTCTATGTATACAAAACCTACATGGCTTGGAGTACTACTCTTATTTCTGGAGATATAGTTATGTATCAGTGGAATTCGCCAAACATCTACTGTCGTGCTTTATATACAGAGTGTCCAGGATGCTGGGACTTTTCTTTTCAGAAACTACTAAGTTTGAAATAGCAAAGCAAAAAGAACTTGAAGAAAATAACTCACTACTTATTTGATAAGAAATTTTTAGTGCCGACTTGTTCTGTTTGTCATAAATACTGTTTGAAGTTGTCGCCTATCGATTCAAAAATTCAAGACTGTTAATATCTTCCTAAAGCATCATCCAAGGCTATTTAGGCCTTCTTTTGTGTCCATCTCGACGGCCTTGGCACTATATAAACAAACTTACGTGAAGACACCTCAAACTGACATCATATCGATAGCATTGCTAAAGGAATGTGTCAATTTCGGTGTTTTCAAATTCGATTTGTGAATAGGTTAACCTACACACTATCGCACCTTCCCACATTCGACGCAGGGCCGGGCTGGCTCACTCAGATTTCTTCGGAACTTCATATCTCGATTATCTTAAGACTTTGGTGACTAAATTGGTTATTGGACGCTCTGTAAAGGGATGTTCCGTCTTCAAGGTCACCCTATATCTAGATCTAGCCAGTACTTCACTTATCCGTTGCTATGATATAAATAATGTGAAACGATCTACCAAAAACCGATTGTTGTTTTACTCTTGAACGTTCTAAAATGAATGAGTGAAGATGAATTCCTGGTCTATGAAATTTCTTCCAGTTCTTAAAAGGCTTTCTCTATCGCCGACCACTTCAGAGCAGCAGAAGCAAAGATCTAAACAGGCAGTTAGCCTTATTTGGTGACGGAACGACTGGCTTTTACCATCCGGAATGGTCATTGCAGATACAGAAACGGCTATCGGTTACCGGGCATTATCTCATTCCAACTGATATACACGTCAGATATTAAATTGAGTGGATTGCTAGTGCCGGGATTGAAGAGACCATTTGGCTCTGAAGTTATCGTTGGCTCTGGTATTTATGGGGTAATAAGTGAAATATCTGGTAATTATAGACTAAAATATTTCTATAGTTGGGATAACTAAAGTATCAAACGAACTGAGTAGTAATTGATGCATCGCTAGTATTCTGACCTATAGTTATTGAAATTATAGGCTGTGCTTATAGCCCAAGAAGTATCCTCGCATCCACTTGGAAAAATATTCTGATAGTTTTTTACATAATCTTATGCAAAAAGGACCCCTTTGTTTAAACAATGTTCTAAACAATTCCAACTATCGTGTTTTGCTCCGAACACAGTTTCTTGGGTCATTCTGAACAAAAAAAGTTCTTATGAATTGATAGTTTTCGAAATATAAGCGATTTAATATTTGTGCAAGTGCAAAGTATACAATTTTCGACCCTGAAAAATATTAAAATATAAATGTTGCCAAAGCTTTTGGATATTCTTCAAACGTTAATAAAATCCCAAGAAAATTTACGGAGTATTTTTAAGCGGTGCTTTTATTGTTAAGTATTGTTATCGTGAAAAATCACGAAAATGAAATATATTTTTTGGATTGTACATGACTCTACGGAAAACAATGTCGTTCATCTCCGTCTGTCTGTCTTTATGTCTGTCGGTCTGTCCGTATATCCTTGACTCATCTATAGCTTGGAAAGTAGTGGTCGGATGTGGAAGAAATTTATAACCAAGGTTACTACTAGGTACGTCAAGTACGAAAAAGCTTTTGAAAATCGATCCAGTGGCGCTGGAGAAAAATCCCAAAAACTTAAAAAAAATTATTTTTTTTTTTGGTATTAGTATATTAACATATTCCCTACCCAATAATCTTCGTCATTTCATATTGTTTTTCGAGGCCGAATATAGCATATTTCGAATTCTAAATCGCTTATACTCGAAAACTATCAACTTTAGACAAAAGTTTATAAACCACTTTTTATTCAGAATGTGTCAAACAACCTAAAAGTGTTCTTTGAATTTCAAGATTTGGACATGCAGATTCGTTAAAAAGGATTCTTTTTGCATATCATGCAAGAAACCGAATCAGAATATTTTCCAAGCGGATGAGCACATACTTCTTGAAATAATAAACTGATCAGTACCAAGGCACAATATACAGTGTAAATGGAAATTCGACCTATTTGGTGTAAAGTGAGGCCATTTGCAATAAATCCCATCAATTTGGGATCAAAAATAAGTTGTTGAATTTCTTCAATTTTTTCTGTTTGGATAGACTTTCTAATTATTTTTGTAATTTCTACCGCAGCAGTCATACATTTTTTTTAAATAATTCTGGTCGATTTTCGAAAGTTTTGATACCAAGATACTTTATATGTGCGATATTATATATCGAGATTAAATTTATTGCTAAAACGATTTTTAATCATACTTCAAGCAGAGTATTAGTTGAGTGCCTAAAAATAATCATTTTTTGTAGACTTTTCTACCGATGCCTGACAGAATATTGGAAAATAACCATGATAACTCAGAAACCACATGTTTTCGGCTCGCATTCAATTACATATGTATGAAAAATGTATAAAATTGGCAACTTTAAGAATTACCTACAAGAATAATGGGACAAAATTTTAATAGTGTAGCGAAATAGCTATAATACATTCGTATATGGAGCAACTGAAGCCAGCAATTTCAACATACTAATTTAGTTTTGAATTCTCCTTGGTTGGCGCTGGCCACCCTGATTGTAAAATATCTGTACGCGGAAGGTTCCTAATCGTAGTCAGGAGAATTTTGCATTTCTTGGTGACGTTTGTTTAGTATAAAATAAATTTTTTTGGTCGCTGTATCTAATTTATGCGTTCGTTTTTTGAAATATTCATTCTTCCATTCAGACTTCGAAGCTTTATTTCATGACTTAACAAACTAAATATCGGTCTTTAATTGCTTCATAACTCTGGTATCAGGAAAAGTAGCAGTAAATTTTAAAAAGTGAATAATAGCCAATTGCAAAGCTCCAGTGACTCATAGTAATTCAACTCTTGATAATTGGCATTGCCTAAAAACTCAACAAGTAGGCACCAGCATTGGTGATGCAGTATCCAGCTGAGCAAAGTGGAAGCATTATTAGCATAACGAGATTTTTCGCGTTTCTACTTCCTTAACGATAGCGGTTCTATGGTTCTAATGAATGGCGAGCGCACAAGCATATATGAAAGGTCAAACCTATGCTATACGGTATTTAAACTTTGAAAACCGCTTGGCCTTTGCAATATTGCTCGTTGAACAGTTTATATTTAAAGCTGTCCACACACTGCTTGGATAAATTACACTGTTTAACGTATTACTAGCGTTTGGTCATCAAATAGAAATACATATCTGTACCTCAGAGCCAGACTAGGTTAAGTCCAAATAAGTAGTTATGAGACAATTGTTTTTGAAATATGTTTCTTGCGTTGTATTGTACGCGGCTTGGCATGAGCTAGAAAGTCGTAACTTCCTTATTAATAAAGATAGATGGATGCTGCATGCAGCAAATGAAAATTAACATTATTATCATAAGCCTAACATATTAAGGTCATTTATGACATAAATGGACTTAACCTAGCCTGGCTCTGGGGTACAGATATTATTATATGTTCTCATATTGTTTCATATGTTTATAGAAGATAGAAATATGCTTATAGAAATGCTTAAACCTTAACGGCGTTAGAACTTTATTTCGGAGTTAGAAGAACATCTCCATATTTGCAAAGGACTCCGCACACAAATTATGGAAAATGAGTCCTAATCGACTTGTTTAAAAATTCAGTATGATGAATTTCTCAGCCTCCTGACCGAAAGTTTTCATGGGGCCAAAGCAATCATATAATTAGTTTCTGTGAAATAGGAGAATATAGTTTGACCTATTTACAAAAACGTTGAATGTGTTGATTGTAGTTCTCAAACCAACAACTCGGAGAATCGGTTTACTGAGAGAAGTATTTGATTGAAATGTTGCCACTGACCATAATTCTGCATGATCAATTTTCAGGTGTTTATTCAAGAGTTCCAGAATTCAGAGGACGCCATAGTTCAGATTGTTTCTCAAGGGAAAATACAGGTCGCGGTTATTTAAGTGTCTTTGGTTGTGACCTTCATTAGGTCACATCTAGGTTGTGTTTATTTTGAAGATAAAAGGAAAAGTGCACTTGGGAACATTGATTTAAGTTGTTGCAACTTACAATTTACTTTATACTGGCCAAAATCAATAAATCTGTGACTTCCGTCGTATTGATGTTCAAATTATTTCCTTTTATATAAGAAAATGATCACAAAACTTACTTAAAGAACTAAATATATGAGACTTAAGTAGCATTAGAACGTTACTGCTACTATTTTGAAGTAGATACTTAGCTAGATATGATAAATTTTGAGATGTCTTTCACGTCCGCTCATTATGAAAGAAATACAATTACATCTCATTTCATTGTCATTTTAAAATTTTACGCATTCGATAATCGTTTTTTGGAAAAGTCATTAATTCTTACACTTCTGGGAACAAAAACATTAATTTGGCTCTCAAAAAGACCATGCGTTTAAAATATGAGTTTTAAGGTTCTCGTTTACTCAGTAAATTGACCTAGTTTGATGTATTCTGCTAGAGTATCCATCCAAAATTTAAAATTTCAGTCACCGATAGCAATACATATCACAGTAGTGGTGATTCGTTCTGAAACTGAATGTATGAAATTTGAAATGCAAGGGCCGTCTTACACTATGTATGGGGTCCCTGGGCCCACAGCAAACTCAGGGCTTTCGGCTAAAGGGGCATCAAGCACTCAGATATTGATTTTTGAGCAATTGGGGCCCCCCATCAAGCCGGGGCCCTTCTGGCCCATAGAGTACATAATAGGCTAAGTGCAAAAACTTTCCTAAACTACTGGTATCACCTTCTTAATACTGAAGTGATCTTGAATGTAAGCTTGTCATCGCATTGTTTTTTTATGCCTAGGCTGCATGAAATTTCTTCAGCTGAGGCTATTGTTCTCTCATTAAACTAAAAGCCACCGACTTTTCGGCAATTAACCATTAGCAGGCGGCAATCGAGGACTTATATACCATGTTACATCTAGACGGGCACGAAATACTCGTGATTATTGTGAAACAGTGACCTTTGAAATTGATGTCTTTATTTCAATTAGAAGGCCAGTGGTCATTTTCAATTTTTACTTTCCATACACGAGTTCGTGAACCCAAAAGCTTATTGTTTATGACAAAAAGAATACTTGACAAATCGCAGATATTGAATACTTCACTATCTACATTCTACAACAAGCCTAGAATTAGATGTTTGTCGTTTTGTCGGTGTCATTTCTGGTTGATAAAGCAAGCGAGCCATATGTCAATACCGATAATATTTTATAAAATATAAGAAATTTTCGGATGTGTGAATAGTTATGATTATCCGATGTAAATAAAACTGTCACTAGACAAAAATATCACAGTCTCATGTGAAAGTAGAATGGTGTAAAAATACGTGTTCCTAATAATTCTTTCAAAAGCTGCCAATTCAGTAGCTAGGGTTACGACACTTAATGTGTAAAACACAAATTCTCAGACAGTGGAGGTCCAAATAGTACTTTTCTGTTCATGGTATATGTTTGAGAAATAACTTTGGGCTAAAAGTTTAGTGTTCAACGAACAGTAGCTTTTGTCAAATGATCACGATTTCCGAGTTGCAGCTATTCAAAATTGATGATAATTGGTGATACTGTTCGTCTGATTGATAATTATCAAATGGAACTTCGAGTGTTTTTTCTGCTGGATACCAGTAAATTTTTGTAACAGCGATGCAGTCAGACGTCTCCTCATTGATGCCGTAAGAATCACCTTCTGTTGGCTATTCATCATCCCCACTTTTTTGCAACCGCATTCAGCATTACACCTCTTTTTACATTTGACCATCAAATTCATTACGATCAGATTTTTAACCATTTCTTGTAATTTGATTTCTGCAGAAAAGGAAATAAGTTTCTCATTTAGCAAAATGAACGAGTTTTTAAGATTCAAATGCATGAGTCAAACATTTTTAGGTCAGGGTCCTCAAAACAAATGAGGTATCCAGAAAGCCTTATAAATCGTAGTTGTAATGTTCAGCCTACTCGTGTTATTTTTTCCTAATTTATGTGTGAATATTTCTCATTATTTAATTGGGCTCGTGTTAGAAATAATTAACTTCATTATTAATTAGTATTAATCTTATGCAACGTAAAACATACATTTGTATTATTTTAATTTTGCTATTAATGTTGGTTTCCGTTGATTTGATTATTATTGACACAAACATTTATAAAAGTTTCTTTTAGCCTAGGAGCATTTTGAATGCCTTCATGGATATGCTAAAAGTTTTTTTAATACCTGCAGTGTCGGTAGGTTTATTAGAGAATGGAACAAATAATATAACAGATGTTTATGAACCACCATTTTTCAAAATGGGTTCCGAGGAGCTGAATTTATTATTATTATTATTGAGGTGAAGAAGACTCAACGTAGCTGAGAATCTGCCAGATACTCTCATGGATCGGAAGGCGGGAAACTGTGGTACCTTTGGTATACTGATATGTCGTAGGAGCGTTGTGTCCTTTAGTCAATAAAGAACTGAATTTAATATCTGCAAATGTTTTCCGTTATACTATTGTGTACTCATATAAGCTGGATAAGACAGTTATGGATAATTAAATTGTCACTATTTTATATTTTTTTGTACACCTTTATTTACGTAGGCGACATATAAGGCTTCAAGTATTTTCAATAATCCCAAGGTAATATTTCTTACGTTTCCTCTTGCAATTTTGTTCGCGTTCGTATTGAATAGATTCATGCTTTTCTGTTTTGGATGGCTATTTCTCGCCTTAGTAGGAGATAAAGATGTTTGTTTAATCATTCATTTATATTATGTCTTGTCACACAACTGACTAAAGATCTAACCCAGGATGTTATTAAACATATCTATGTATAATGGACTTCATGAAACTTATTGGTTACTTACACCTTTTTCAATGTCAAGTCATTTCTTCCTCATTCTCTACACCACTACAAGCTCTGCTTCTATGAAATTATTAGTTTCAGATCGTTTAGTGCAAAAGGAAGCAGTCCCGGTGTGTGTTACAAACAATTGTCGATGAAAACTGCTTCCATTTAGAAATAAAGAGCTTTCGAGGTTGCATCCAGATTTTTTCTTCTATGATCAATATTTTGTGAATGATTTTGCGTACTCGAACTCATTTGAATACGCTACATATTGACCTTAGATTAATAAATCTTTTTAAAAACGTGGACAGACCTTTACATTGTCGGCCCAGCTAGAAGTGCTTACAATTTCTCTCGATAATTCATATTTCCATATACGTCTGTTACCTTAACAAGGTATCTAGAATGCCCATTGCTATTTTTTACGAGTTGGCAGAGGCACGGCAGCGAAGTACAAATAAGAAAACTTTCTTCCAGCAGCACCTTAGGGTTCAGTGTCACACCGACCATAACAATGATAATTACAATCTATACAAAAGAGAAAACACTCACATAGAAGCTGCTAAAGAGGTAAATACATAAGGAGGTTAATGAACTGTTTGTTGCTGCAGGTGTTTACAGGTACATCCATAATGTGCAGTGGATATTGACACTTTTAGGGAAGTTAAGTCGGAGAAATTGGCGAATACGAGTGTCTGGCAAAGAAACGCATCATACTTCAAAAATTGTATAATTGTCTATATGTACTCTCGAATCATTACTTAGATTCTATGATTTGACATATTATATAGCAAAAGTGTCTATGGGCCCAAAGTTGTATGCAAGTATAATTTATGGAAACAAAGATGAACCGGTGACCTAGCAATATCTAAGAGCTACTCTATATTTAGTTACTCTCTCACTCTCCCATTACTATTTTTTTGAAACTAGGTTTTTATAGATGCTGTACCAAAGGCTTAAATAAATCAAAAATGGATAATCTGAATGGTTCTCAAGAACCACAGGATCTATTGACAAACAAACAAAACAAAAATCTTGAATTGTCCAGATCTATCAAGCCGTTTAATCTGAAGCCCGTGAAATAAAAAAATCAGTTGAAATTTTCACTCAAAATCCGTCATTTTGATTTTATAAAATCTTGATATACCCAGTGCGCGACTTTATCTCATATGTCTTGTACACATGCATATGTAATCTACATAGATAGACGCGAAAAACGTAAACCTTCTTCTGTTGGGTAACAAGCGAGTTGGGTGCGGGTTATCAAACGCCCCATTCAAATGGTAGTTAGGCAACATCATAGCATCAATTTTTACGGGTAACTATATTAAGCAGTCTCTGATGGTCAAAAACTCCTTGTTAGAAAGTACCGAATGATTGCGGGTATATTTTAATAAACTTTAGCGTTGCTTTTGTTTCTCCCGGTCAAATTACCAACGATCATTTTTATTTTCCTCATGAATGCGGTGAAAACAAAACATTATGCGAAAAATATCACTCCCAATTACCCGAGATATAAACCCGAAGAAAAACAAAAATTATGTTATTCTGTGGTATATGTCTAGGCCTACTTGATAAATCAAGAGGGGAGGAAGACATGGCATGGTGTACGATTATGTCTAACACTTGCAAATTAACTCTCCCGTCAAAGTCCAAAATTTTGCTAAACTAGAAATAGTCCGCAACATGTTGCGGCACGAGAACTAGGATCAAAAATGTACCTAGAGACAGCACATAGTATGTACCGGAACCTATTGCCACGTACAAATGAAACGTCTTGGAACATTTTCTGAACATTTATAAACCCACAAAACCCTGCAGCACAGTAAAATGGTAACGGACCCCAATATGTTACACTGCTGTAAGCGTCATTTCTGAACATTGATTTTTCTGTCATTTCCATATAAAATATTTCATTTTTGAAGCTAACTATTAAAGTGCCAAGTCTTACTTGTACTTTACAAAACCTCCTTGTACTTTGAGCGAAAGGTGATCCGATATAGTAAATATTGATCTTTTGTTATGCCACCATAAAAAATAAATGCGCTAATAGAATTTGGGCGTGAAGGTCGAATAGCAGACGAGTATTATTAGTTTATGCAAATTGGTTACATCAATAGCATGTGTATATCTTTGTTTTATTTGTTATTGTCATAAACTTCGGCGGGTTCGATTAGTTCTAGAACGATATTAAATTGAACTTGAAGAAGACCACTTTATCTATGTCAAGGATTTTTATGTTTTTGAAAACAGTTGGATGTTTTTTTTACTTCAGATAATCTGAAGAAATAACGATACTTTGTTCGCATTTCCTAATTTTAAAAATATGGAGTCAATAAAATTATCTTCCTAAGCATTGGTGTAAATCAGCATGAGCTTCTCAGCTACACAGTTACACATACTAGGCGAATCCATAATTAATATTTTAACTATGTCCTAAAGTGACCAGGAACTAGAAAAAGCTCGATTAACGATGTTTCAATTTTTATCAAATTTTTGACTCTTTGAATACGCTCAAAAATCGTCAGAAACGCGAAAACATTCATCTTTTGAAAATATGCCATTGTCTTAGAAACATCCGAAGACATCAAGGTTTGGACAAATTTACTTCCCTTTCTCCTACCGTTCGAGTTGTCGAGGAAGTTTTGTAGGTAATCGCGAATTGCGAAATCGAGATAGATCTTTTGGATGCGAGGTTTACAATGTATGTACATGTCTTATTTCTGTTGGTCTGTCTGTTATTTGTTGCCTTTCCGGAAATCATTGGTCCCTCTAGAAGTCAAAATGTACTGCTCGGATTCTACTGAAACTTTGGCATAAAGCTATTATCATACCAAGGACGAAAGAGCATTATAGATTATCGATCCAGAAAAAGCGTGGTTATGAGC